TATAACACCAGAAGCCGTACGAACTGCTGCACTTCTTACTTGGCCATCCGTAGCGACGGAAACCTCGGTTATCCTGCCACGTTCCCACTGGCTCCTCGGGCGGGCAGAGTCACAAACGATGACCAACTGACCAGGTTGCAAAGGCGTTGCTCTCTCCCTCCACTTACAGCGGCGAAGCAGTTGTGGCAAATATTCAACTGTCCACCTCTTCCACAGCCGGTCCTTTAAATTTTGTGCGATGCGCCACTGTTTTCGAAGGCATACNTTAAGTTTTGTGCGATGCGCCACTGTTTTCGAAGGCATACCTTTTCTTCTGCTGGGTTAGGCGTTTGCGTGGAGTTAAGGCAGCCCAACAGAAAGTGGTTTGGCGTCAATGGTTCTTCGTCCTGCGGTGTTACGGCTAACTCAGTCAGCGGGCGGCTGTTGATGATGTTTTCCGCTTCGAGTAAGACGCTGCGGAATGTCTCCAATCGCGGTGCTTCTTCACGCAACACCCTTTGCAACAGTCGTTTGGTGCATTGCACAAGGCGTTCCCAGCAGCCTCCGGCTGACGGATTCGCAGGGCAGTTGAAGAGCCATTCAATGTTGCGTCGTGCCATCTCACCCTGTATTGCGTTGAAATCAAACAAACGTTCTCCGGCCTCAAGCTCCTTTTGGGCGCCCACAAAATTGGTCCCATTATCGCTTCGAATTCTCACGGGTACTCCTCTACGGTTGACGAAATTGCGCAAACACAAGATGAATGAGTCAGTCGAGAGGTCTGCAGCGATTTCTAAGTGCACTGCCCTTGTCGTTAAGCACGTAAACAATCCAACCCAACGCTTTTCTCTTCTTCGGCCGATAGTCACAAAAAAGGGTCCGCAATAATCGACTCCGGCATAGGAGAACGGGCGCACATNACAAAAAAGGGTCCGCAATAATCGACCCTGGCATAGGAGAACGGGCGCACATATGGTGTAAGACGGTCTACCGGCAACTGACCCATAAGCGGAACTGCTGGCTTNACGGTGTAAGACGGTCTACCGGCAACTGACCCATAAGCGGAACTGCTGGCTTTGCGTTGGTATGAATGCACGTAGAACACTCCCTCTTGACTGACTTGAGCAGAGCACGCGCACGAGGCACCCAAAATCTTTGTCGCATTTCGTTGATTGTGAGACTGTCGTTCTGGTGGTGAAGCTGGCAGTGATATTTCTTCGCAACGAGACGTGTCACGTAGTGGTTCTGTGGCAGAATAACCGGGCGTCTGGCTGTAATCGGCAGGCAATAAGCAGCGTCAATTCTCCCGTTTACCTTCAGCAAACCATCGACGTCTACAAAGGGCGTTAGCTGATATAGAGAGCTCGACTTCGGCAGACAACCCTTGTGCTTAATGGCTTGGATTTCATCTGCAAATGACTCGAACTGAACGCGACGAATTATTTTATTTTCAGCGGCTGCAAGTTCATCAGACCTCAACTCTCCACTTCGGCGATGATGTGACTTCGGGTTATGACAAAAACGCAGCATCCAGGCAACGACCCTTATTATCTTAAAAAATGACGAAAAATTAGAAAAATTGATTGGATACTCCCCTGTATTCAGGATGATGACTCGTTTCGCAACTTCCTCTAGTGCACATTCATTTGNCGGCGATGATGTGACTTCGGGTTATGACAAAAACGCAGCATCCAGGCAACGACCCTTAT